ATGGTGCGGAGGAGCAGGAGGAGGATGAGGAGAAGGAGGAGGAGGAGGAGAAGGAGAGGAAGGAGAGGTTTGGGGAGGCCTTTTCGCGAGGGATGGGAACGTCGTAAGAATGGTGCGGAGGAGGATGAGGAGGAGAAGAAGGAGAGGTTTGGGAGGCCTTTTCGCGAGGGATGGAACGTCTCAAGGACGGTGCGCAGGAGGAGGAGGGGGAGAAGAAGGACATGCTAACGCAACAGGCTCCGCCCTCATGCTTGGCGAACATTACAAAAAATAAGGAGATGGATGAGGATGCGGAGAGGAGGAGGGCGACGACGACGAGCAGAAGGACGTGAAGGGCAATCTCCCCCCCATCCTCCCATTGCAAGAGGCGGGCCCTGCCGGAAGCGGGCCCCGCGGGAAACGGGTATCCGGACCCTTCTGCCCCAGCCCGTGGGCTTCCCCTCGGGACCAGCTCCCGATCCTGCGCGAACGTTTCTGCGGCACTCTGGGCCCGGGGAGGGCCGCGGGGCATGCCAGAAACGGCGCGACGCCCCAGGACTCGCAGACCTCAGGACCAGCCTGGCTCAGAGCGACTCTCCAGAGGCCACCCAACTGAGCGACGATCAAAAACGGGTCTTACGCGAGATGACGTAGCGACCTCACGCGGAGGCTTACGCGGTGCGCCCGCGCGGCACGCCACGTCTGAAGCGAGGGCGCTGACGCGGGAGCTTGCGCGGGCAGATTACGTGCAAATGTCGGCGCCGACGACCCCGTTTTCTGGCGTCGCTCAACGGGCGCCAGAGCGGAAGAGGAGGAGGAGGAGGGGGAGGGGGAGGAGGGGAGGAGGAGGAAGGAGGAGGGAGGGGAGGAGGAGGAGGAGGAGAGGAGGAGGGGAGGAGGAGGAGGAGGAGGAGGAGGAGGAAGGAGGAGGAGGGGGGGAGGGAGGAGGAGGAGGGAGGAGGAGGAGGAGGAGGAGGAGGAGAGGAGGGGGCGGAGGAGGAGAGGAGGAGGAGGAGGAGGAGGAGGTGGAGCGGATGTGGGGTCGGAGGACGCCGCGCGCTCACCGCGGAGGCCTCCGGCGCCGCCGTGCCCCCCCCGCGCGCTCGCGCGCGCCCGTGCCCCCCGCGGCGCGCCGCTACCGCAGGAGTGCGCCGCCGAGGGCGCCGCCGAGGAGGGACGCCCCGCCGAGGAGGAGGCCGGGGAGGGCCGAAGAGCAGAGGCGGGCACGCGACACGGCATGCCTTGCAAGTGAGCGTTCTCGTGTTTTCGGGGATGGACAGAACCCCCTTTAGTGAAACGTGGTTTAGTGAAAACGACCTCGGACCCAACCCTGGCGGGCGCAAGCCTGGAAAATGACGGCCGCGGCGCCCTCTCGAGAACCGAAAACGGACAATTCACTAATCGACGTGTCAGGGTGGGGGTTCTGTCCACCCCCGGTGTTCGGCGCTCGGACATTGGGCGGAAGGGGGGGGGGGGGAGGTCTGGCTCCGGACCTCTGCTTCGTGCGGTTGTTCGAGAAAGTGCGTCCTGTGCGGGAGACTCAACCTGCTCAAAGCAGGCGCCACAGGCACCCGATACCGACTCCACCGGGGGGGGGAAGGGGTGCGAGGGCCCGCGCCGATCGGCAGAACAAGGAACAAGAAAACGATCACCAAGCGGATCGCGTATCATTCTGCCTCGTGGGCGGGAAGGCGGAGAGGAGTCGAAACATACTCCAGATCCTTCAATAGGCCCCCCCCCGTGCCAACCTGTCCGACGCTCCTTGCCCACCCCCCCACGCGCCCCAAACCCACCCCCTCTCGCTCCCCAACCTCCCCACGCCCCCCGAAGGACAGCGGTTTCCCACCCCCCAAGCGATCCACTCCCCCACGCTTATTGAGAGACCTAGAGTAGATGCTCTGAGGCTGGGATATCCTCAGCGTGTCGCGCCAGTCACAGCCCCAGACATGCGACGTCTTGATTTGTTCAAAACGTGTTCCTCCTCCTCCTCCTCCTCCTCCTCCTCCTCCTCCTCCTCCTCCTCCTCCTCCTCCTCCTCCTCACCCTCTCCTCCTCCTCCTCCTCCTCCTCCTCCTCCTCCTCCTCCTCGTCCCTGGAAGCCCCGACCCTTTCCCCAGGACCGGTTCTTTGTCCCGAGTCGTGTTTTGACGGCCCCGAGGCCCGGCGAGGGCCCCCTGGGGCCGAACATAGCTCAAGACCTCGTCCTGATTCTTTTTTACAACGCGATCCTGCCTGGGACGTCCCCCCCTCGTCGTGATACAAGTCACGGCGAGAGGCCCTCTTGGCCGCTCTCGACCTCACGGGGCGGCGCTCCACGGGCCCCTGGGCAGTGGAAAACACCTGCTCTGGGGGAGTGGCCAGCCTTGGGGAGCTGGCCCCGACCTCTGGAGGCCCATGCCGTGAGAAAGCCTGGACCCCCGGGGTGTTGCCAGAGGCCACGTGTCCGATCCATGGGGGCCTCTGGTAAACGGCTTGGAAGCCTGTACCGCGCAGCACCGCTCGGTACAGGGCGCGGCGTCGCGCGGTGTGGAGCGGCGTTGCGCGGCATCGTGTGGTGTTGCTCGGCATTGCGACGCCGTGTTGCTCTGGCGAGCTGGCCCTGGCCAGAAACGTGTCCGAACACGTAGCTGACATCAAACACAATCGACATGCAATATGTAAACATGTGTGCCACCAACGTTGGCCAACAAACAAGTATCCCAGTGCGACCCTACCTAGGAGTTGGAGCCCCTAGGAAAGCAGCATAAGCTAAGCTAAGCTAAGCTAAGCTAAGCTAAGATAAGCTAAGATATCTAAGCTAAGCAAAGCTAAGCTAAGCTATGGTGATATAAGTTAAGCTAAGCGAAGCTAAGCTGAGCTAAGCTAGGCTAAGCTACGCTAAGCGAAGCGAAGCTAATCGAGGCTAGGCTAAGCTAAGTTAAGCTAAGCTAAAATGTTATCAGCTAAGCGAAGCTAAGCTAAGCTAAGCTGGGCTAAGCTGAGCTAAGCTAAGCTAAGATGAGATAAACTAAGCTAAGCTAAGCTAGGCTAGACCAAGCTAAGCTAGGCTAGGTTAAGCTAAGGTAAACTAAGCTAAGCTAATATGATATAAGCAATGTTAAGCAAAGGTAAGCTTAACACAACTAAGCTAAGCCAAGGTCAGCTAAGCTAAGGTAAGGTAAGCTAAGCTAAACTAACCTAAGCTAAGCTAGGCTAGACTATGCTAAACTAAGACGATATAGGCTAAGCTAAGCTGGGCTAAGCTAAGCTAAGCTGAACTAAGCTAAGCTAAGCAGGGGCGCAACTGGGGGAACCGCGGGGCGGATGCCAGGGGAACCGCGGGGCGGATCCTGGGGGAACCGCCCGGGGCGGGCAACACTGCCCGGCCCCTTTAAGCTAAGAGGGTAAGAACCCTTCTAGGCAGAGCCTAGGTAGGGAACAAATCATGATTATTACCTGGGGCCCGCTGGGAATCGAGAAAACTCCCGTGGAAGAGGCCACCGAGACTTACCGTGAAGTCATGCGAACACCCTCCTTGGATTAGGTCGGGCATGTCATCCTACTGGCGGGTTTTGAACGAAAATTAAGCAACAGCCAACAGATGCCCCAAATAGTCAAACATTGTAAAAAATCGACCCCTGACTATTTGTTTGGCTAGTTTTGAATCTTCCTCCTGTAGAGGGACTAGCCTGACTTAATCCTTGGGCCAGGACACCGTCAGTCGACACCGAATCGTGAAATCGCATCGGCCTGCCTCGGATCAGGCTGCCTCGCCATGGAGTCGGCCTCGAATCGGATCGGCGACGCCTGGAAACACCAGACGGTGGAGGTTTTTTTAGAGAGGGGTGCCATTGTTAAGGAACGCGGAGGCTCGAATCGGCGAAGTTCCTCTATTCTTTAAGGAATGGTCGAGACCCTGGACCAGCAGGGCTTGCGCCCATCACGACTTGAGGATATGAGGAACGTCCGAAGGTCCCGCCTGGAAGCAACGATTCCTTATGTAGTGCCTCCACCGTACCTAGAGGCCTCCTAGATGGGGTCGGAGCAGATGGGGTCGGAGGATCGCGCCGCATCGCCGATACATCGGCGATACATCGTCGATGCATCGGTGATGCATCGGCGATGCACTGGCGATGCCTCGTCGACGTTGGCAATGCATCGGCGACGTCGACGTGACGCCAACCTTGCTGCACATCGAGCCGCATTGGCGACGCACCGGCGATGCGGCGCGATCCTCCGACCCCATCTGCTCCGACCCCATCCAGGAGGCAATCACCGGGCCGCATCGCGGCACATCCGAGTCGAAGTGGCATCTGGCCCGGTGAACTCGGCACCGACTCGGATCGATCGAATCGCAGTGGGCCCTTGCCAGGGCCACCTCTGACAGCGCCCGAAAACACAAACCCTCCTCCTCCTCCTCCTCCTCCTCCTCCTCCTCCTCTCTCCTCCTCCTCCTCCTTCTCTTCCTCCGCCTCCTCTTCCTCCTCCCCTCCTCCTCCCCTCCTCCTCCTCCTCCTCCTCCTCCTCCTCCTCCTCCTCCTCCTCCTCCTCCTCCTCCTCCTCCTCCTCCTCCTCCTCCCCCTCCTCCGCGCTGCCCCTGGCGCGCTTCGTGTGCCGGGGCAGGCGGGGTGCAGTGTCGACCCACACAGATCCGCGCGGACCTCCAACACCGCATGTGCGCAGTAGGCAACCGCACGTTGGCACTGCCCGGGCAGGTCAGATTTCAGGTGCGCTGGCTGGTTCGCAATTCGAAGCCTAGGCATGATCGCGCCGTTAAACCAATCAGGAGGGGAGGTTTCTGGCTACGCTCGGCCCCAGGGGGCCCTCGCCGGGCTCAGGGGTCGTTAAATGAAAACGACCTGCAAGACGAAAAAGCGATCCCGGGGAAAAGGTCGGGCCTCCCAGGGACGCCGCCCTGAAAAAATCAGGACGTGGCCTGTCTGGGAGGACGTCTGCAGCCAAGCGAACCCCAGCGGGGGCGGGGCTCGAACGCGCCGGCAGACGCGCGCCGCTCTACCCTTCGAGAGAAGCCAGCGCCCCGCCGGCAGCTCATCGCACGCGTCCCCGGCGGCCGCCGTGACCTTGATCTCGACCTTCATCCCGTGCGGGAGGTTGGCGCCCACGCAGCAGCGGGAGGGCTCGCCGCCCTCGGGGCACCAGCCGACCCAGACCTCGTCCATCTCGGGGAGGGTGGACACGTCGTTCAGGAAAACCTCAACACGAGGAGAACGGGCCTCGAAGGAGAGGGGTTTCTGGGATTTTTTGCCGCCGCTGTCGGGCCCCTGACCACGGGCTGTGGGCTCTTCAGAACATGACCCGGGACCAAAGAGCGTCCAGGGAAAAATCCCCGTCACAGGGTCCGTCTACTACTCCAGGGCCCCTTCCCTTCAAGAAGAGAAGACCACGGCGTCGATGATCCTGCTCTTGTCGGTGCCGGCGGCGGCGAGGCGCTGATCGAGGTCCGCCAGCGTCAGCCTGGTCTGCTCCGCCACGCCTTCCTGCCCGGTCTTCCCGGCGGGTATGGCTCGGCTGCACGTAAGAGTGACCCTGGGCAGAAGTAGCCCTCCTTGGCGCGTGGCTCCAAGGGGCCATGGGGGAGCCGAACTCCAGACGTACCTCCCTCGACGCTCGGATCTCCAGAGAATCACCAACCACAGCAATGCCAAATCATCCTTGAAGTACTGCGCCGTTCCCAGGCTAGCAGTAACCGGCCCGTTCGCCCATCCAGCGCATCCCTCGCCGACAAAAACAAAAACCGCACGTGGGCGCGGCGTCGTCGGCCCTACCGGCAGGTCCTGCGGCGAGCCCCCAGGGCGCTGGCCCTGCGCCGGCGGCTCGGACGGAACGCAGAGAGAGGGAGGAAAAAGGGGACGAGCAAACGAAGACGAACGCGCAGGCGGGAGGCCAGGGCCGGCGGGACGAGGCAGGCAGGCAGGCGGGCAGGGGCGGAGACGGGACAGCAAACGGGGAGGGGAGGAGGAAGAGGACGAGGAGCAGGAGGAGGGGCAACAAACCAGCCGGGCCAGGGGCCGGGACGGAAGGGCCGCCCGCGACGAAACTACGGGCCCGACGGAGGCGACAGGAATCGGTCGTGATGGGCCTTTGTGGGCGTGGGGAAGGGCGTCGGGATCGTTGTGGGCATCGGGAAGGGCGTCGGGGTCGTTGTGGGCGTCGAGAAAGACGTCGTGGTCGCCGGGATCGTTGTGGGCGTCGGGAAAGGCGTCGGGAAGGGCGTCAAAAAGGGCGTGGGGTGCCGGCGTGGGGTGCCGGCCGAACCCAGCACGTCCAAGCCAATGCTGGGGGGACCCGTATGGGCCCGCGCCAAAAAGTCATTCTGGCGAATGGTCACTCTTCCGTGTAGCCGACTGGCAACCGTCCAGACCAGGCCGTTGTGGCGCACGAACTGGGAGCGTCCTGGCCCAATCTTACTCCGCGCGATGAGGGCACCTCCTGCGGCACGGCGCATGCGGAGATCTGGCGATGTCTGGCCGGCCTGCACCCGAGAGCTCCGCCGGGACCAGGCATGTCTGAGCCGTGCGAACTCCGGTGAGAGCAGGCAGGGAATATCTCCTCCCCGACCCCCCCCCTCCCTCCTCCCCCCCTGGCCTCCCTTGCCTCCTCCTCCGTCCTTTTCTGGCGCTCCGCTCTCCGGGGCCTGGACTCCACAACTGACGACGACGACGACGACGACGACGACGACGACGACGACGACGACGACGACGACGACGACGACGACGACGACGACGACGACGACGACGACCTCGAACCACGAACCTCGATCCGCGAACCTCGAACTTCGAGCTTCGACCGACGACCGACGCCGACGACGACGATGACGGCGACGACGACGACGACGATGAGGTTCGATGCAGCCTCCACGTGCTCCACCTCGGCCACTTTCGCGGCGCCTATTGGCAGCCCCCTGGTGCGCTCCCCGCCATCGCCCTCCTCGCCCCCGCCTCCCCGGTAACCAGCCTCAGCGTGTTGTAAGCACGGCGTGCCTCCAACTGTTCTGCCAAAGTGGACGCCTGCTCCAATCGCGGCTGGACAACAATTCTCCCACTCCGCACAAGCGAGGGGTCGTCGGGCGGAGGCCGCGGCCAGCGCGCGCGGGCGGGGCCCAAAAGGGGCCAGGCCCTGGCGCGCGCGCGCGGGCCGAGCGGCGCCGCTCACAGGAAGAGGATCATCTGGCTGCCCACGGGCAGCATCAGCCATGTAACCCCACCGCTGCACGTCGGGGTGTAATCTTTCCAGGCGCCCTGCAACAGGCGACCCCGACGGCGGAAAATAGCGTCTTATACGGGCCTCTTCGTCCACAAACTACTACGAGGCAGTTCGGTAGCTCTGAAATTCCAGATCACTCTAGTGACAAACTCGGTGGTGCTATTTGCAAGCGCTCACGCCTACATTGCACCTGACATGCGTAGTAAATCAACTGATCCGTGCAATACTCACGTTTCATAATACATATCAACCAACATCACATGAGTGTATCTTACTAAATCAAACCAATGTCGTCCTTCCCTTCGTTCAATCTCTCCGCATATACCTCTCTCTCTATCTCAGATCCAATCATTCATTCATTCATTCATTCATCCATCCATTCATCATTCAATCCATCCATCCATTCGTTGACGCATTCATTCGTTCTCTCTTTCTCTCTCTCTCTCTCTCCCTTTCTCTTTCTCGCCATCACTCCGTGCCCGTCTTTCCTCCCTTGTCTCCCTTCCTCATCCAACATCCCGTCTTCCTCTTAGTCCTCCCCTCCCCCTGTCACTCGCTCCCCGTCATCACCCCTCATCGATCACCCCTGCCTCCCACTCGCCGTGGTCCGTACCGCGTCGACCGTACAAAATGCGCCCATCCCGCTCCCGCGCGCCCCCTTGCCCAGCAGGAGGCGACTCGACGTCCTGCCCAGGACGGCCCTCGTCACTCTCGCATCCAGTCTCGGGGATGGACAAAACCCCCTTCAGTAAAACGTGGTTTAGTGAAAACGACCTCGGGCCCAAACCTGGGTGGCGCAAGCCTGGAAAATGACGGCCGCGGCGCCCTCTCGAGAACCGAAAACGGACAATGCACAAATCGCCGTGTCAGGGTGGGGTTTCTGTCCACCGCCGACAACCCTCTCCTAAGACGAAAACAGGAACGGGAAAAGATCGGACAAGCACGCATCGGGAAGCTCCGAGGTCTGGCGGGTCCGGGCTCGAGGATCAATCGGACGCCGCGGACGGCCCACAGCGTTCTGGAACTCTCCTCAGGGCAAACCGCAAAGCTCTGGCCTACCTCTCCTGCCTCCCACAAGGCCGCCCGCGGCGACAGCGCAGCCGAAAGCTGAGCAGAGTGACGGCGAAACAAAAAACGACCGAGGCCGAATCTGCAGAGGCAGCCCCTTGCAAGGAGAGGCAACGCTGCGGCAACGGCGCAGCGGAACCGACCGAACCGCGGACACCCTTGCTTCCCCATCCCCTCTCCTCCCCTGGTGACCAGCGCCGAACGCCCCCCCCTCCCTTGACACCGCCACCGCCGCCGTCGCCGTTGCCGTCGCTGCCGCCGAGGCCCACGCTCCCAGACCCCAGCGTCGAGTTTCTTGTGGGTGGTACGGACGCGCTGAAGCCTCCCGGTCATCTGCGCAACTTCGCGCATCGCGCCCCGCGATGACCGGTTACAGGCAGCTGTCCGGACCCCGGCCGTGACGCGCGGAGCGCGCACATCTTCGCGCCTCCTGGGGGCGATCTGAGGTGCCGACCGCTTTCCTCCTAATGAGCCGTGTGCCGATGGCCCGAGGGCCAGGTGAGGGCCTCTACGTGTCGAAACAAGCATTCTGGAGAATGACCCGAGAACAAAAAAAAAAACGACAACGCACAAGCGTGGATACCCCACGGCAGGTGGGACGAAGGGGGGGGGATATCCTTGTGGGGCGGCGGGGTCCGGTTCCGACCCCCCCCCTTCCAAGCGCCCACAGAACGCGCTCTCTCGGAGTTCTGGATCGGGAGGAGACGAGACGAGATGAGCCCCTCCACCCCTATACATATATAATATAGAAATATATACGTGTAAATATGTGTGTATGTATTTATATATATATATATATATATGTATACACATATGTTTAATGTATACATCGACAGATACATATGCATAGACTTATCGGTGCCGGTGCAGGTATAGGTACATGCGTATATCTATATATATACACATATTTTATGTATGTTCATATATATATATATATATATATATATATATATTAAAACATATTCACGTATGCTGATCAGGGCTTGTCTGTGTATACAGGTATGTGTGTGAGAACTAGCAAGCCTGGACGCCAAACTGTGTGTTTCTAGCAATGCATGCTGTGCAATCTAAATGTTGCATGGTATGTGGCGTAACATTGCGTGTAGTACAATATATGTTGCGCAGTTCATTTGGTGCAATCTGTATGGTGCAGTCCATATGGTGCAGAATAGGTGGTGCGACTTTTCGGTGCAATACATGTTGCACAGTTGGTATAGTGCAAGCTATTTTGTCAACCCTAACGTGTGCGATGCATGTTGTGCAACCTGTGGGTTGCAGAATCTGTTGTGTAACATGCCGGCTGCGATCTTCGTTCTGCGATCCGTGTGGTGCAATATGTAAGTATGCTGAACTTTCTGCTGTGTAACCGATGGTGTGCAATCTTCGTAATCCAATATATGTTGTGCAACCTTTGTTGTGCAAGATGTATTGTGCAATGTACTTTGAGCAATTTCTATACGTGGAGAAACAAAAGTGGTGCAATCTATGTGGTGCAACCCTTGATGAGCATTCTAGGTGGTGCGCCCTATGTGGTGCACCCTATGTGGTGCGATATCTGGTCCGCACTAAAGAGTGTGCAATATCGGTTGCGCACTCTATGTGGTGCAATATGTGTGGTGCAACCTATGCTGTACTGGGTGGTGCAATATATGCTGTGCAATATGTGTGGTGCAATCTGTGTGGTGCAATCTGTGTGTAGTACGGCGGCGGGGCAGCGACGGCGGCAACGAGGGCGGCGACCAACCACCCAGGCCCAGGGGACGGGCGGCGACGAGGCGGCGACGGGGCGGCGACGGGGCGGCGACAAGCGCGGCGACCAACACCCAAGCTCGGACGACGGGCGGCGCCGAGGGTGCGGCGGGGCGGTGACGACGGCAATGTAGCAGCCATGCCAACACCGCGGCCCAGCTCAATTCAACAGCAATAAAAAAAACCTTTTGTCCGAGCTCTCGCTGTGAAACATATGAACCATTGACGTTTATATGCTCATAGAAGGCAATTGAACACACACACACACACACACATACACACACACACACGCACACAGATCGAGACTTTCCCATCTTTGACGCACGCCAAGCGCAGCCAACCCGCAGCTTCGCAAGACGAGGGCGAGCCGCTGGCCGTGGCCAGCGCAGGACGACCCGCATCTGCACCGCGGGCCGCCCCGGCCCGCGTGGGGCAAGCAACAACACTTCTGCGGCGCTGGGGCGCTGCGGCCCATCTCGGGTCGGACAACCCGAGTCTCCGACGAGATGATTCCTTGTTCCATCGCGACATCCGGGTCGGACAACCCAAATCTCCGACGAGACAACCCAAATCTCCGACGAGATGCTTCTTTGTTCAATCGCGACATCCGGGTCGGACAACCCAAATCTCCGACGAGACAACCCAAATCTCCGACGAGATGCTTCTTTGTTCAATCGCGACATCAACTGTCGGACAACCCGAATCTCCGACGAGATGCTTCTTTGTTCCATCGCGACGCCAACTGCCCAACCGAATGTAGTCTTCGCTGGCGGCATCCCGGGCCCGACTGCGGCCCCCCCCCAGGCAGCGAAGCAGGGGTCTGGAAGACAGGTCCACCCCGAGACAACGGTCCGCGCTTCTGACTACCTACCAGACCACCCCAACCCAACCCGAAGACCCGAATTTCGGGTTGGGGGGGATATGGGCTCCATACGTGTTTTTTCGATGTTCCCGGACCCCCCCCCCCACTGGAAATCGAGGGTAAATCTGAGCCTTCGGGTTGGGTTGGGGTGGTTTGGTGGGTGGTGAGCTTCTGGAACTGCGAAGTAAAACCGCCAGATCGGCGGGTGCAACGAACAGGAGCGAAAACGGTGGGAGATATCGCGGGGGAGCTCACCCAGCTGGCCGTCCAGGCGCCAGGAGGCGCCAGCGTACCAAGGAAAGCGCCAAGCGGCGGGGCCGAAACCAGCTGCTCAAAGCTGCTTTCGCAAGCGTTCCTTCCCAATCCCCCTCCCTGCTCCACAGCCCCCGACGTTAGAATGATTTGCTCACAACGTCGAGCCCCAAGGGTCTCCACCAATTCTCCGGGCCCGGTTTTTCATCCCGAGTCGTTTCGACGGTCCTGGGGCCTAGCGAGGGCCCCCAAATGCCGAACATAACAAGGTACCGTCCGTCGCGTTGTCCTCCCCGACGCGAGAGGGTCTGGGTTACGTCCGACCCGATCATCGCCGCCAGCTGCTCTCACGCCGCAGAAGAGGACGAGGAACTGCTGGGATTTGGAGGTCGGGCCGAGCTCGGCAGCGGCGGGCGCTCGCCGAACTTGGCGACGTGGGCCTGGGGCGGAATGGGGGGTCGACGGTCGGGGGCCGAGGGGGGAACTCCAAACGCAGGTTCGATTGGGGATCTCCGAAAGGAGCATGGGGATCGGAGAAACCCACCAGGTGCAGACTGCGATTGTCGCGGGGCTAGTGGAACGAAGGCATGGGGGGCCACGAAACGTGTGAGGGGTGCCGATATGGGCGCGGCGGCGACTCGCGAACTCTCCCAGCGGGGCCTTTGGAGGAATTTGCCGCGGGGGTCAAAAAAGGCGCGTGGGTGTGCCAGAACGGGCGCGGCAGCGACATGCGAAGCTTCCCAGTGAGGCGTTCGGTGGAACTCCCCGTGGGGCCACGAAGCGTGTGAAGAACATGCCAACATGTGCGCGGCGGTGCCGTGCGACCCACCCACACTGGGTTTTCGGCGGGGCTCCCGATGGGGCCACCAAGCATTTTGGGGCGTGCCGGTATGAGCGTGGCGGCGCCATGCGAAACCTCCCGCAGGGGTGTTCGGTGGATCTCCCAATGTGGCCGCGGAACTTGTGAAGGGTGTTTGACTTGAGCGCGGCGGCGGCATGTGAACCCTCCAACCAGAGCTCGATGTGGAGGTCCCTATGATATCATAAAGCGTGTAACGGGTGTGCCGCAATGGGCGGGGCGGCGCCACGCGAACCCTCCTACTGGGGTCTTTGGTGGGTTCCCTCTGGGTCCACGAAGCGTGTGAAGGGCGTGCCTGTATGGGCGCGGCGGCGCCATGCTAAACTTCCCGCTGGCGTTGACGGTGGAGCTCCGTTTAGGGCCACGAAGCGTGTGAAGGGTGTGCTGACATGGGCGCGGCGGCGCCATGCGAACCCTCCCGCTGGGGCCTGCGAGATGCTCCATATGGGGCCACGAAACGTGTGAGGAGTGCACCGGCCTGGGCGCGGCGGCACACGCGAACCCTTCCACAGGGGCATTCGATGGAGCTTCCTGTGGGGGTCCACGGAACGTGTGAAGGGCGTGCCGAAATCGAACTGATGGCGGCGTGAAGGCTGGTGCTGGTGTGGATGATGCTGATGATGGAGGTTATGATGCTGATGCTGAAGATGCGGTTTATGCTGATGCTGCTGCTGCGGATGCTGATGGGGATGGTGATGGTGATGGTGGTAGCGCTAATAACGAGGA